TACAATAATGCTCTGTGGAACACCACGTCTTGGTTGGATGTGGACTTTATTGATGTTATGAAACACTTGTTGTATTTCACTTCTTGTATTGATGTTCTTCGATAAAACACTTTGATAAAACTTACTTCGATAATGTCGAACTTTGAACTGTCTTGATAATACTGACTGATTGACTTCCATATACTGACTGAATTGCATGACGGTTTACATGTCTCTTATATAGTAAAATAAACCTGTGTGAACCTGTTCTGAAAGATTCTAGATGCTTCTTTTTGATGCTTCTGGAAGCTTCTGGATGCGTCTGTATGCTTCTGAATGTTTCTTGATACTTCTGGACGCTTCTGGATGCTTCCAGATGCTTCTTCTAGAAACTTCTGGAAGCTTCTGCATGCTTCTGGAAACTTTTGGATACTTCCTTTAATTATTAAAAACTTCTGTGACGTTGACACGGGCTAGACTTAAGAAAATGAAACAAACCAAAAAAGTTGCACTTGTTTTATCCGCTGCAAAATGGCACTTGTCAACAAAATTCTGCCTGTGTGCTTTCACCTGTCAGCTGATTGTTTATGTCATGGCATGCTATGACTCCAGACTCCTGAACTGTTTGCTGTGGTAGTATAGCTTGTTTCGTTTATAAGACATGTAAAATTAGGAACACTTTTTAGCATTGCTCGATGTTGGTTGCAAATGTTTTGTCAAATACTGTAGATTGTGAAAAGAAACATGAGATGCATTAGCTTTACATTTGTACTTAAAACAAAGTAATTAAGTAAATAAATAAAAGAGAATAAGATTATTTAATAGGTTATCCCAAAAAAACACTTTTTATAAAATTTCCCATTCTATAGGTCCTAAATAACTAAAAATCTTTTTTTAAATTTTTTAATGACTAGAAGTGATAGATTTTGTACGCTTATGTGTATTTACATAAAAACAGCGCTTCCTAGTATTTCAATTTTTTTTAATATGATGTAATAATTGGTACCCAAATAATTCCCATAGGGCATTATTAAAGATTGGCATCATTCTATGAACATTGTTAGCAATTGATTAAATTCCCTCTGGACAATATTATTAGTTGGTATAATTCCCTATCGATTGGTTCACTAATAAATCTATATAGAAATTTTTTTAAAGAAAAAAATTTCTGAATGAAATTATTTTTCCACAATGGAATTTTAATTTGTGTAGGAATGAATTCCCGTGTAAATGGTTATAAAAACTGTAACGGTAAACTTAGATAAAATATGATACGAGAAAAAATAACGATTTGATTTTTGATGCAAGCGTAAAATATAGTATCTAGTTAAATCTAGTTAAAAACTGATTACTTCAAAACTCATACAAAAAAATGGGTAAAACAGCTAAAAAAAATGATAATGATGGGGCAGAATAAAAAAAAAAGGAAAAATACAGAAAGGTCGATTTATATTTACCTATTGAAGTACCCACTGATGGATTTGTCTTAGAGTTTTCATCTAATGGTGATATTCTAAGATACTATCAATTTATATTTTGCGAGTCACAGGTTAAATACAAACCCACTTCTACTAATGTTGGTTCCGAATTGAAATCAAAATCCAAGGATCTTGTTTGTGAAAATGGTGTTGCACAAATTCTGATGTTTCTTGCTTGGTAACTGCAGAGTTTGGCTAAAAAACTGCAGGGTTGTGATTTCTGGGTAAAATATAAAGACCAAAATCATTAAACTTAACTTAAAATACAAGAAATTGATTTAGTTGTCTTCTCTAAACTGGGACAGCAGTCTTGATAAGCAAGAGAAAGATTTTCTCAGAGAATCCTATCAGCTTTTTGACATCTTGACTAAGAATTTTTAAAAAAGATATTCTTGCTGATAGATTGAGAACAGATGATGCCAAGCTGTAAAATATAAAGTAAGTTTATTAAATAACTTTTTTTTGAATAGTGAGATTTTCTTTCCAATTTAAAGTAATTTAAGTAATAGCATATTTTTTTCTTTCAAATATTTACGCCTAACTCTTTCCATGGTTTGGTCATCTTCCAAGAAAAAGTTTCTTGGAAGATGACCAAACCATTGGTCATCTTCCAAGAAAAACTAGAACAATTATTACTTTATTTATAAACGTCTAAACAGACATAAATATTTTTTAGTTTTTATGAAGACCAGAATTTGGATAGGAAAAGAGATATAGGAACAAAATTTGATCGAGACTACAGTAGGAGAGTATTGAATGCAAATCGAAGAAAGAACAAGCAAGATAAGTTGAAAGATAAAGAATTAGAGAGACAGAAAACTTAAGATCTCAATTATATTTTGTTGTCACATGACTCCATGACAGAAGAGATTTAACTCAGCAGTGAGCAAGAAAAGTCAAACAAGGACTCTGAAATCAGCGAGGAAGAAGATTTCCTGGGTAACGGTCAGAAACACAAGTATAGTATTATTTTAATAACATAGCTGTAATTTTCTAATTAAACTAAGTAATTTTCTAATTAAACTAATTTTCTAATTAAACTGTAATTTTCTAATTAAACTAAGGCTGTTTTATTGAAAAATATATGATTATTAATAATTATATACTTTTCAATAAAAATATTATAAAATCATACCTAGGTGCAAACCTGGAGATAGGATAAATCTAGCAGAGAATGCTGTGAAGCTCATTGAATGTACTGCTATTCCACCAACAACATTCAATGTTGGTGAACAACCTCATCTGGCAATTTTAAGTGAAGTATTTAAAGCTGAAGGTATAGAAATTAATGATATACCGCTTTAATAAAACACACTTCATAGTAAAAAGTTCAAATATATAGAACTTAAAGATCGACGGATTATTCTTTATTTTGATACTTAACATTATTCAAAAAATTGAACGACTTACAGTTTCAGTGAGCTACCTGGATGAAGATACCATGGAAGACCATCTTTTAGGTGTTGTTCAATGAAATGTTTTTTTATGATTTCTGGCTCCCTACAATAATATGAAAGCTATCCAGACAGCTATGCATTTAGCTATGCTTTGCTTCTCAGTATGGGACGACATACGTGGTACTTAACTCCAAAACTCTGTGTTTTGCACTTTGGAGATAAAGAAGTTTCTTCTGAAACAAAGCTAAAAATGTTGTTAGCTCTGATTGATTTTGAAGAGCCAAATGAATTTCAGCGTTGTAAACCATCAAATATATAAATCGGAGAAACCACGGAGCTTTCTGAGCAGATTTCCGAGAAAAGCTAGTTAAAAAAAAGATGTAGTTAAAAAGTCTAGAAAAAACTTGATTAAGAGTTTGACCAAAAAAGAGCTTTGGAGCTGTTCTAAAAGTTGTATTTTTCGAGAAACGTTTCACCGCAATAAAATCTTAAATGAAGTACATAAAAAATTAGTCTTTATGTATTTTTTTTTTTTTTTTTTTGTATTTTCATATTTATATTTATAATCAAGTTGTTTTTTATTATTAATTTGAAAAATAAATTATATATTTTAAATTTATATATTATAAATTTTAATTACGATATCTTTTGCATTTAAACAAATTTGTTTTCTATAATTAAATTTTTTTTTTTTTTTTGCTTTTTAATTCATTTAAATTAACTTTTTCTAATATCAGAAATTCCTTTTTGTAAAAAGTTTTTTTTTCTTTAGGTGCCCAAAGAAGACCTTACGGTTTTGTCACAGAGCACCGTGAAAGTGCATTTAACCAGGAAGTTCACGCCCCCTTCCTTACCGCGACGTAAAAATATATCCAGAGCTTGTTTTAAGAACCTGGATCTCCTTATAAAGCAAGCGCTCTAACCACTGCGCTACAAAGTTAAATAATCTAAATTCCGTTTAAAATTTACGAAAGTTTTTGTTGTCTGTTAATACGATCAATTTTTAATAAAATAATTTTCGGTGATTTTCGGGGACTTTCAAAAAAAATATTTCCGGGATTTTCATAAAGTTAAATACTCATCTATGTTTGAAAATATAAATAAAATTGCATAAAAAGCAGTTTAGTGATATAAGGAAATCTAAAAACATTTAAAAAATTTTTCATTTGAATTATTTTATATTTTAAAGAAAAATTCTACCTTATTTATAAAAACTAGCAGTAAGCAACCCGTAATACGGGTTATTAGTAATTAAATCATTGCTTTCTAAAAAGTAGCTTTCAGCTCCTTTAATTGCACTAAAATATAAATCAAAACTTGCTTCGCTAAGTTGCTTGGAACGTAAAAATCTGAAAACAGAAAAGTAAACAACCAAGACCAAGCATTTTTTTAATATAACTGCTATTTAAACAAATTAAATTATGCTTAGATTTCCTACATAAGTTGATGACAAAATTACAACACGTCCTAATCTGTGGTCATTTCCTTTTATTAAAGTAATTTTAATTAGTTGAGTTTTTGACTTCATGAAATTACTGGAAATTACTTTCTAATTAATTATTTTAATAAAATAAAAGGATAAATAAGGAATTTAAAATAAAAAATTATAAATTAAAAATGACTTTCTAATATTCGAAAAAGTTAGTTTGAATGAATTAAAAAGAAAATTATGAAAGATGTATTTGTTTAAATGCAAACTTTGTGGCATTTAAAATTTTATGTAATATTTTTTAAATTGGAAAATTAAATGAGTTTTGAGAAATTGAATTTCCGGAATTCTCGAAAAAAAACTCTATGAGTTAAATAAGTTAATTTAAAAAATTTTTGCAGGAAGGGGAGGAAACGCAAAACATAAAAGAATAGGTTTTTATTTACAAACAAAAATAATTTACAAAAAAATTATACAAACAAAATTTACAAAGAAAAATATAATAACATAATATATAAGATATGATACAAAAATGATACAAAGATATAATACAAAAACAATTTACAAATAGAAAATATCTAAAAATACATCTACAATTAGCATTTTGTAGAATTGTAACCTACAAAATATTAATTGTAGATGTATGTAATCCCACCCCTCCCTCCCCCCCCTTCTTCTACGACGACCACCACTACCCCCCCTCCCATGGAAGAAGGGATAGGGGTAGTCGCGGCCACCGTTTCGGACCCACACCCCATAAGCCCTATGGGATGTGGGTCCATTGTGTTCTCTCCGGTATACTAAAAAAGCCTGGTATGACAAATCTGAAATGAAAATAAATAACGAAATAACAATTTTATAACAGCAACATATGTAAGTGTAAAGATAACACAAATACAATAATGTGCGAAATTGCAAACCACTTACCATTAACTGTAGCAGCAGTAGTCGAGGAAGTGGTTGTCGAGGAAGTGGTTGTCGAGGAAGTTGTCAAGGAAGTGGTTGTCAAGGAAGTGGTTTCTAATAAATAAGATAAATTTTAAATAAATAAGATGCAGTTGAAGTGGTTTCGAATGAAAAATTCTTAATTAATACTAATAATATACAAATTTATTAATAGTGATAATAATCATATCAAGTGTTGTTGCTGCTATTCTCACTATAAATAAAAAAATAACTAATGAACAATTCAACTATTGGATGAAATTAGTTATACTTACTAAATTAATAGTGTAATAACTTCATAATAATTAAATCATTTTAAGTATATTTTCTTACACGTTTTATCGTTTGCATAACGATTTACTAAGGTAAAAAAAAAATATTTCGTAAAAAAATTTAATAATTCTATGTAAGAACATTAAATATATTAAAATCAGATTTTAACCTATATCTGCAATTAAAATTAAAACTAAATTTTACAAATTTCTTGCATTGATTGCACTAAAATCAGATAATATACATATATATATATATATATATATATATATATATATATATATATATATATATATATATATATATATATATATATATATATATATATATATATATATATATATATATATATATATATATATATATATATATATATATATGGAATATCTTTATCTAGCCTAAGATTACCTACATGATGATAAATCTGGCCACATATTTTAAAACATGGAGGCCCATGATTCATTGGTTGAACTACATCTGCTTTAAAAGAAGCGAATGAAAGACAGGCATTATAATTTCGAATATGTTTTAAAAAATTGTCATTAACATTACGATCTACATAACTCCCTGTAAATAAATCCTGTAAAGCTTGTGTAAACGATGAAACTGGAGGCAAAGCTACCTTACCATTATGGCAACATAGAAAATGTGTTTCATCTAAAAATTTCTTAACACCACAGTGCTGACAAATTTGATTCATTTCTCCTAAATAATTACAATCTGGAATAGCGTTACTTCTTGCTAAAGAATACATTCTTCCAGGTCTAGCAGCATTTCTTTCATTTTGACGGCGATTAACTATATCACGATTAAACCTATTTCTTTCATTTTGGAGATAATTAACCACATCACGATTAAGCCTATTTCTTTCATTTCGACGATGATTATTTTCAACTCGTCTAACCAACCTTTCCAGATTTGGGTTTAAATTCTCTTCAGCTCGTATAACAGCTCTTACATTTTGCTGACGATTAACTTCATCTCGCCTAAGTCTGTTTCTTTCATTTCGTTGATGATTATTTTCAGCACGCCTTAGAGCATTTACATCATTTTGTAAATGTAAAACTTCATCTTGTCTAACCACCCTTTCAGCATCATAGTTTTCATTAAACATATTATTAAAATTCATCCAAACTCTTATCTCTTTTTGCACTACTCTAAATTGCATAATAAAGTAAAATAATTTATGTAATCTAAAATTTAAAATAAACTACAAATATATATCTTGCTTAAAGTTAAAAGAAAAATTATCAAAACAATTATAAACATTTCCCCTTGTAGTAGCTACAACAATATATCTATAAAGAGATCAAATATAAAATAAAAAACATATTGATAAACAGATAAAATAAATAAAAAATCTAGTATAAAATACTCAGGATTAAGTTCTCTCTCTCTCGCTACATATATATTTTATATTATATATATATATATATATATATATATATATATATATATATATATATATATATATATATATATATATATATATATATATATATATATATATATATATATATATATATATATATATATATATATATATATAATCAAATAAAAAAATAAATATTATTGGCATAATGCCATTTTTTAATTTTATTTAAAGCATGAAAACAAACTTAAAACTTCTTTTGTTTTTAATTAATAAATTTTTACTGAACTATTTATAATAGCAAAAAAAGGGAATAAATGTGAAAACAAAATCAAATGCAGTTTCAAATTTTATATATATATGATATAAACCTCTACAATTTTTATCTGTTCAACAACTGAATTATGATTAATCACAACTCTGGAAACATAAATTTTCTTTTAATTTAAGTCTAAATAAATAAACAAAGTATAAATAGAAATGTTAGGAAATGCTTACTGCTAGTATTTTAAGCATCTAAATAACTAAACAAAATAAACAAATAAAAATGTAAGCAAATGTTTGCTGCAAATATTAAGAGATAAATAAACAAACGTACAATATCAAATTTATATTTATGAACAAAGTTCATTTATATCCAGTAAGTTATATTAAATAAAATATTTATTGAAAAGCCATAAAAGTTTGCGTGAAACCAAATTCAATAAATAAAACATATAGTAAACAAAAATAAAAAATCGTTAGGGCATCAACACACAACAAATCTAATACAAACGTTTAAAAAGTTAATAAAGCTTAATCTCCTTATCAAATTTAAGAGCTTACCTCGTTTAATTTCAAAAGTAGATTGGAAACTGTTTGCGTTAGAGTATTTTACAGAATACAGAAACGTTACTAATATCGAACAATAGTAACTAACGGCATTCAACATTAATAACTGGACTATTCATATTTAGATAAGGTAGAATTTATCGATTTATAAAAAACAGGCAGGAGCTCAAAGAAGATACGGATGACTAAAGTCACCACAATCTTTTCATAGAGCTCCTAGGGGCTAGATCATCTTCCAAGAAAAACTAGAACAATTAATTATTTATTTATAAATGTCTTAACAGATCTATATTCGACCGTTCGACAGTTTAGAGTTTTACGTTTGACCGCATCTAGAGTTTTGTGTACAAGCCTGGTCTCCACATCTTAAATCGGAAATCGTCCTTTTCGAACGCGTGCAAAAACGTGCAACAAAGACTATATTGTTAATTAAACATTTTAATTACAAAATACTAAAAATACTAGATCTAACCACGCTAGAAGAACGCAGAATTCGCAGTGACCTTATACTGCAATACAAAATCGCTTATCAGTTACAAGAAGTTGAATTTTACATACCATAATTACAGCCTTTCTTATTAAATTTACGATATAATCTGAGAGGAAATAGTTGATGTTCAAAACCACAACTGATCAAAAGTTATTCAGAACGTTTGCACTTCTTTACAAACCGTGTTACTAACCGATGGAACAAATTAGCTTAGGATGTATTTGATGCACACACATTGCACTTTTTTAAAAAACACGTTTAAGATACTGCTTCGGCTGCACCAATGTCCATCGTCAGCATAGGAAGGCCTGCTGTACTTCCCTTTATCAAATCTAAACTTTGTATGCGAAAGTTGTATTTATTATTTTAAGAAATACATTTTAAATTTAAAAAAATTTTAAATATATATACATATATGTAATTTTTTATATATATTAAACAGAGGTGGCGCAGTGGTACTGCGCTTGCCTCAGAAACAGGATCCATGGTTCAAACCCCACCTCTGGCAAGTTTTGCGACATCGGTTTGAAAGCAGGCGTGAACTTCCGGTTAAATGCTCATCCGTGTTGTTTTGTGAAAAGACAAAGGGCACCTAAACTAAATTATATATATATATATATATATATATATATATATATATATATATATATATATATACATATATATATATATATATATATATATATATATATATATATATATATATATATATATATATATATATATATATATGTGTATATATATATATATATATATATATATATATATATATATATATATATATATATATATATATATATATATATATATATATATATATATATATATATATATATATATATATATATATATATATATATATTTATATCATCAATTTATACGGATTCTCTTAATACAATTAATAATTTATTATTAGAAATTTTCGCTGGATTATGGTTACGAGCATCATCAGCTCGTAAAAATAATACAATAAAAATCTTTTGTAACGTTAGAAACAGTTTAAAATTAACTGACGTCAGCAGTTGAATTTTAAACTGTTTCTAACTTTAAACTCGTATTTTCCTTTGTTGTTATTTATTATGGTTAAATCAAAAAAGTTTAGAGTTCTATTCTATTTCGCTTTCAGTTTCGATCGTATATTGTATTGCAGGGTGTTGTTTGTTTAAAATAGTTAAGAATTGTTCTGCTTCTTGAATGTTGGAAATTCTAGCTTGACTATCGTCGACATATCTTAAATAGAATTTTAGGTCAAGAGGAATCTTTCATTCATGGTCATACTTGCAGAATCATTTTTACAACACCATAAACAAAACGCTTTCAAAATTGCAATGGCAGTAAATCCTCCTTTTGACCTAAAATCATATCTAAGATATGTCGACGATAGTCAAGCTAGATTTTCCAACACTCAAGAAGCAGAACAACTCCTAACTATCTGAAATAAGAAACACCCTGCAATACAATATACGATCGACACTGAAAGCGAAAATCAATCTCTAAACTTCCTCGATTTAACCATAATAAATAACAACAAAGGAAAATACGAGTTTTAAGTTTACAGAAAGGAAACCATTACTAATATCCAAATTAAACATCACTCAAATCATCACCCTAAGATTCTAAACGCAATATTTAAAGGTTACGTTCACATGGCTTATTCTTTATGCATTAATTTATATTTACAAGATAAGATTAATTTCCTTATTCAAATGTTTAACGAAAATGGGTACAACATATGACAACTTAAACGAATTGCAAAATTAATTGGAAATAAACGGTCTCTAAAAATCAATAAAATTCAATCAGACTCTCTTAACATCCCTACTGTATTGTTGCCGTGGATACCATCCACCAAACTATTTCGGAAAGCTAGCTATAGAGTAGTCTTCAAATCAAATCCAGATTTAAAAACATTACTAACGTCAAAAAAACAAAGCTAAATTACCACAAAATAATCAACCCGGAACTTATTTGATGGACTCGAACTCAACAACATCTAAACAGTTTAAACGAAGGTAAACATTATCAATCTGCAATAGCCACCCATAATAAGTTTGTTCACAAGAAATAAGTGGGAAAACGAAAAAAACAATTAAAGTTGAAACAAAAAAATTTGATCGAAAAGTGCGCGCAGCTCTACAAATACATAGGTTCCAATGTTCACCTTTACATGGTGGAAATAATTTAGATATCGGGCAGTTTGTAAAAACTAAGTTTTCGACTCCGTT